AGTGTGTCCCACGGGTCAGTGTGTCCCACGGGTCTGTGTGTCCCACATGTCTGTGTGTCCCACGGGTCTGCAGACCCGTGGGACACACACACCCGTGGGACACACTACAGGTCGGTGTGTACGACAGCTATGATTTTTCAGTGTTTCCGTATCTGAGCAGCAGGTGTTCTTTTTTGTTTGTTTGTTTGTTTGTTTGTGTCAGGATTGTGGTCCATGGGCAGCCGTTCCTGAGGGCCATTGAGCCTCATTCTGGACAGGTTTTTAACTTCGGAAAAGCTTTTAAGCTCAGGCGAAGTCAGGTACACGTTTTATGTTTAATTTTTATCAGTTTTTGTTTTTGTTTGTCTTCTGTCAGATTTGATTGATTTTGTCGTCGTTCGACGCTGCTTCAACTCTCCTTTCTGTTGGTTCTGTCGGCCAGGTGTTGGATGTGAGCGATCACTATCCTGTGGAGGTGAGACTGAAGAGCTCCACCCCTCTCCTCCAGGCCACGCCCCTGCGGATCCTCCTTAGTGTTTCTGTAATCGTTCAGTTCTGCCTGCGCGCTCTGTGATCGTCTGCTCCAGTAAATTGGTTCTGATAAATCACATTTTTATCAGATGTTTTTAGAGTATTTTTATTAAATCTCTGTGCCAACCGTGAGCTGTGAAACTGTCTTAAGTTCAGAATCTTTTAAAAATATATTTCTTTTTATTTTATTTTGTGGTTTTGACCCTCAGTTAAAACAAATCCTCCAGAGAGAGAGCTGCAGGTGTGACGTCTACAAACTGCTCTTGTTGTTTTATCTTCGTGTTCTGACCCGTCAGTCGACCCGCTGACACTCAACAGAAAACAACAAACCTCACACAGAAGGAACAAACAGTAAATGTTGTTGTTTGTTACATTTGTATGATTTTTCACGGTTCACTCAGAGTTCATGGGGATGTTTCTTTTTTTCCTCTTTGTTTTTTTTATTTTTAACAATTTGGAAACTGGTGTAAATATCTGGGCGACGCTTTGGATTTGTAAGACATTCGCAGTTTGATTTTTTTAACGCTCATTAAATTTTTTGTTAAACTGTAAAACGTGTTGGGCGCCGTTTGTTTAGTCCACAGCTCTTCGTTGTTGTTCGTGAGTCTTCCTGTGCGCTGTGAGGCGCTGCAGCTGCAACCACCGAAGAAGAAACGTCACTTCCTTCAATCAGAGATCGTCTCCTGCTTTGATGTCTCACGTCTGGGTGAAGGGGGGGCTTCCTATTTTCAGCTTAATTTTAAAGAAATTTGAAGTTAATAAAAAAATGAAGTTACACTTTTAAACCTGATCAAGATTTCATGAATCTTTCGTCTCAATAATAAGACTGATATAACAACTTTAGATAACATGGTTGACCTTTTTTATAATTTAAAACGATAGGGCAGTTTTTAAAAATTTTTTTTGTATAAAATTAAGTATTAAATATTGCTTCAGTACTTATCAGAAATAGATCTTTTTTAGTAAAGTGGAAAATGTACGTTATTATTATGCTGCGTAATGATGGAAACACAACAGAGTGAGACATCTTTCTCGTTATGATCTTTGCTCCGTTAGGAAACGTGGCTTTAATGAGTTTCCGGAAACACCAGAGTGAGACCTCTTCTTCTCGGTAGGATCTCTGCTGCTTTAGGAAACGTGGCCTTACTGAGACCCACCAGGACCCGTCAGAACCCAGCAGGACTATCAGAACCCGCGGTTCTGGTAGATGAATGAGAACCTCCCAGCTCCCTTTTCCATCTGTCAGTTTCCGGTCCCGGCAGTCCTCTGCAGCCCCTGTCTGAAGAAGCGCCATGTCTGAGTCAGAACCGGTCCCGGTCCCGGAGGCCTCCGTCCTGGACGCGCTGAACGCCACGGACTCGAACGGTACCGAAGTTCTGAACGCCACGGCGAAGTTCGTGGCCACCTCGGAGGGCACGGCGCTGGCCTACGGAAGCCTGGTGGTCATGGCCCTGCTGCCCATCTTCTTCGGAGCCCTGCGGTCCGTCAGCTGCTCCAAGTCCAAGGTGAGAACCAGAACCAGGATCTAGAGTAAGAACCAGAACCAGCAGCTAAAATAAGACCCGGAACCGGAGCGGGGTCTGCCGTCAGTCTGCGCCGGCTAGCTGAGGATTTAACAACATCTGTGTAAAGATAACAACAGCTGGTTTATTTAAATTATCATCAGAACCCGCCCAGACCCGGATCTGGACCTGATCGGTTCCACTTGTTGCCTTCAGGTGCTTCAGTTGTTTGTTTACACAGAGGAAATAAACAAGTTGTTTACTTGGTTATGGGATGTTTTTTTGTCGTGTATTATCCAGATGTTTGTTTACGGTCCTGTTCTAGTTGTTTACCTGGTTCTGGAACCGGTCAGACAGCTGCAGAGTGGCTGACCTGAGGTCAGGTACAGGTGTGCGTGTGTGAAGGGACTCTAATTGTTTCTTGCTTAAAACGTGTTTTTATTATTTTA